TATAAATAGAGGCTTCCCCCCATCAGTTTAAATCACTCCAGTAGTAGAGCTTTCCTACTATCTCTCTCTCTCTCTTAATTTTCTTTCTTGCAAAAGTGGTGCTCTGCTGTGCACTTAAAAGCTCAGACTTTTATAGTCTAGCTTAAGCGTGAGCTAAGGAGATCCGACCGACCCGACCCGAGATCCGACCCGGTATGTTTTCGATCCATTCTCCAATTTTTCTTACAATATTAATAAAATATAAATAAATAAATTTAAACTGTTAAAATTTAATTTGGACAGTTTATACCCATAGTATAAAAAAATTTCGTTTATAAAATATTTTAATAATAGCTATATAAAATATTGCACGTCAACCATCCATTGTTTTTATCTAAAGGTGGATAGGAGATTTTGACAAGAAAAGAAGAAAGAAAATTACATTGGTCCAATATAATGTAATGTAGCCGCATCGGAAGGTAGTCAGCATTTTAAGTCCACTATGCAGATGGCTCATTTATATAACGGACCCATTATTGACGCCGACAAAATGATCATACAAAAAAAAGATGCCAAATAACTGAATTAAACATATTCTACTTGCTACTCAAATTTGTCCATTCTTGTGCTAAAATAGACATGGTTCTCGTAGATGAACCATCTTCACTTAGAGCTTTCGCAGCAGCATCTTTAAACACTTGAATTTTTCTTTGAAGTTCTCTGCCTTCATCACCTTCCATTAATATTTTCACAACTCTATCAACTTCATCTCTCATTACAGTCCCATTCTTATTCTCATCACCCTTTGGCCTCACTGCAACCTTAAATTGCTCAGTTAGCATCACTGCGTTCATCTTCTGCTCTGCAAATAATGGCCATACAATCATTGGTTTCCCATGGACGATGGCCTCAAGTGTTGAGTTCCAACCACAATGAGTTAAGAATCCACCAGTAGATTCATGCTTGAGAACTTCCACTTGTGGGGCCCATGATGGGACCACAAAGCCTTGACCTCTGGTTCTCTCTAGAAACCCTTCGGGCAAGAAGTCAAGGGGGTCCTCCTTTTGTGCACTCAAATAAGCCGAATTGGCCACTCCACTGGGAGCCCTCAGGACCCACAAGAACTTGTGGCCACTCATCTGTAACCCAAAGGCTAGCTCATCAAGCTGCTCTTGTGATAATGTTCCGCCGCTCCCAAAAGAGACGTATAGAACTGAGTTTCGTGGCTGATTTCCCAACCATGTTAAACACTCTAAATTGGACTCATTTATGCTTATCGATCTTACCTGTATAATAGGCCCCACATGATAAACCAAAGGATGGTTATAACTTTCCTGTAGAGCTATTGTTACCTCTCGTTCCAGATCTATGAAGCTGTTCACTAAGATACCGTCTGGTAAAAGAAGTTTTTTGCATGCATGAAGAATTGTTTTGTAGCCTCCACTCGATCTTTCTTGAAATGGGTCTGGGAGATCCTTGCCTTGAAAGCTTATACAACCTGCAGAGATTTTTAGATGTTAATACAATATTCAATTCAGCTTGAAATATTTCCACATATGCAGAGCAGAGTGAGAATTCAACATAAATTTATTTTGCAACCTGGAAGTTTCAGTGGTTGTGACAACTCTCGAAACCCAGCAGGAAACATCTCGTGATCCTCATCAAGCTCTGGAAAATGGAGGCACAAAGATAGTGAAGTTGTTGCTGAAGGAAATAAAAGATATGACTTGAGTTTGAGTTCTTTTGCGATGTCTATTGCATCCATTGAGAAGAAATCAACAACCGTAGCCACAAGGTGATGAGTTGGAGAACTGAATGAGGTCAAAGAATGACGAAGAGAAGAAAGAGAGAGCGTGACAGTGTTGTAAACTTGTGTTGCTGGGTCTTCATCTTTGAGGTCTTCCAAGTTGATTTGTGGAAGAATAGTGAAGTCTATCTGTGGTGGGAGAGATTCCAAGATGGAAATCGTAGTTGGAGAAGGAGGGCCAAGCGTAGGGATGAAGAAGATGAAGTGGAAGTGAGGTTGACGAAAGATGAGTCGTTTTGAGAATTCAATAAGTGGAAGGAGATGGCTAAAGCCTGGAGCTGGAATCATGGCTATGCAGGGACTCTTTCTCTCCATGTAAGACTGATAGCGGGGGAGCTTGGAGACTTGCTAGCAACTAGACCACACTCTTTTCCTAATGATGGATGGATTTCTTTTGATGGCTTTTTATAGGATCTATTTAGCTTTCCTTTTGTTCCCATTTATAAATAATTTTAAAAAGAATAATTTTTCTTCGTGGTAATATTGATGTCGATGATGCATATTGTAACATTTGGACTTTTTGAATAAAAACTAAATGCATAATTAACAGTTTGTTGAGGGATAAACAAAATATTAACCTCAGAAGATAAATTAAAATTTAAAGTAATTTACTAATTATAGAATTTTAAAGGGATAAAAGTGATTTCAAAATGAAAAAATGACAAGAAAAGAAGGTGAAAATTTCTAAATAACAAATAAGGAATGCCAACAAAAATTTATTGTTATTTGCAAATTCACCTAAGTGATTAATGCTGAAAAGATTTTCTCTAGCAATACTTTTGCCGCTCCATATGAATAATGTTCTTAACATCATCACCTGTGTCGTTGAAGGGGTGGTGACAGTCGCGTGCTTCTGAAACCTTGAATTGCAGTTTATATATTCTTTAATTTGAGACTAAAGGTGGGAATATGTGCTGGCTCAACCCTACAACACCAGCCTTGTAGGGTCGATGGGCTTAAAAGGGTCGATTCTATAAGGTCGAAATTTTAAAAATATCTCAATTTGTTAAGTCGAACTCTTAGGCTGATGGGTTTAAGGCCGACTAGCGGGTTTTCAGCCCGTTTAAGAAAAAATACTATTTTTTTATCATTTTCATATTTTTTATCCAAAAAAACCAATGAAATTATTAATAAAAGATATAAATATGAATAAAATTAAGTCACAAATATAAAATATCATCATATTTAAATATTCATCAGTATCCAAGAATATTTAAAACGAATTACCAACAAAGACAAGAACATATAAACGTTCCATCAATAATACAAATGTGTAATAGACAAACACTATCATTAATTTTTTGAAACTTCATCATCACTATAATCAACTGCTCTTCTTTATAAGTATACTTTTCTTTCGTAGCAAAAATATCCAGTTTTTTTTCTTTATAAGAATTTCACTTTTAAATTTTACAATCTAACTGTTATTTTAATTTAGTTTGAGAAGCGTTATTGTTAAAAACTCATAAATTTCTTATTCAAATTATAGAATTACAAGTTATATAAATATAAAAATACTCTCTTATAAAATATATATAATTTTAAAATATCAACATATATAATATAAGTCAAATTATTATTAAAATCCAAATTAATCCATTTTTTAAAATTTGATTGGACAAAATATTGTCTAAAACTAAATAAATCAAACTATTCTTTGAAATTTAATTTTAAAATGATAATAATAACTAAATATTTAAAATATCATTAATAATATGAAAAATTAATAAAATCATAATTATATAAAAAAATTAAAAATAAAAAAAATTATAAAATAGTCTAAAATAACCTATTTAAGCTCTCAGCCTGACAAGGTCAATCTTTTTGTCTCCTGTTTGAAGAGGAAAATTTCAACCCCAACTCTCTTCATTTTTGAGCCGGCTCTAGGTGTGACACCTGTTGAAAGTTTTATACATAGAAGAAGGGACAAAATATATGGGACCCACATAAAGTATTGATAAGTTGTGTCAGTCATAAGTATCTTTCGTTCTCTTGCATCAAGATTTTTTGGGTCTTTCCTTTGCCTTTCGTTTCTAAAGATATTTTTATCCTTAAAATATGTCATGAAGAGCGATTGATCTCTTTTAAGTACAAAAATAAGCTATGTTCTTGAATGTGCCCTAACCCACTCTTAACATATTTTGAAAGTTAGATTGAATCTCTTTCTTTCATACAGACTCTTTTTTACCATAGTAGTGTGTTGTGAAATTTTATAATCATCATTCGTTTTCTATTTAACCATGATATTCTTCGAACACTGAGTTTTCTTTTTGTTTTTTTAAGCTTAAAGTCTTTATTACTCGGGAGAAGGGAGGAGTTGGATGTGGATGGAGAGAGGTATTAAGATTTTTTTTTGGTGGAGTGCAGTGTATTGAACCTATCCAATCAGTCAACAAGATAATTGAAGACATGAGCAAGACGTGTTAAAAATTGAAACCTACTCCATGCTGGGGCCACCAATGACGTGAAGGCTTGAAATCTGTATGCCAAGTAATGGCCAAGCAATAAGCTGCGAGACGAGTTAGTAAAAAGATATTTTGGGTCTGTGCGGGGAAGTTTCCAAACTCAATGCTTAGTTGCTTTGATGAAGGAAATGAGGAAGACTAGAGCAGCATAACAGCAATTTGAAAGATAGCTTATGTGCTGAGAGATAGTTTTTGAAGAGCTCTTTGTTTATGAGAAGTACTCAACAAATAAAACAACGTAGAATTTCATAAACTCATCAAATAATGGCCAAGATTTCCTCGCATGGATAAAGCTAGGAGAAATCACCATTTTAGTCGCAAGTTGACATCAAACCTCGTAATGTTTTCCAAGATCATGACTTTCTTCCAAAAATGCATGATTTTGGATCTGTCTAACCGTGTGTTGAGAATCAAAGCATGCATAGGGCCAATGGCCTATTATAACAAATAATTCCTGCACTCATATAAGCAACTCTCCTCCACGTAGAAATAATTGAGCACTGTCATTTTTGACAAATTTACATGTGGGCCAATCAGAAATTCTGCAATACGGAGAGAAAACAATTAAAAGTTAAACAGTATATCCTTTAGTAACTCTGTGAGGTAACATTGCAATATTTTCAAATCCATTGTCACTGGCGAACGTTGTCCTCATGGCCTAGGTTCTAATGCTTGAAGCTGGTCTCCAGGTTCCAAGTTCATTTGCTGGAATCTTTTTTTCCCCCCAATAAAAAAAAGTCAATTCTCACTTGAGTAAAAAGTCTTGTTCCAATGGGTTTCCTCAAGCATGATGGCATTCAAGTCTGGAGTTAGTTCTGCAAAACCTTATCTGGTAGAAAAAATACAAATACAAATCCAAGGAGGGGTAATCCTATTTCGGCTTACAGCAGCACAGAATAGACAAATTACACATTTGCAACAACGCAGGGATCAATCAACAAAGTTTATGCTTAACTCACTGTGAACAAACTGGGGAAATGCCTCCTCCTTCGATATTTTGAATTCCTCGTCTGACTATGAGGAAGATTTTATCCGCAGACATGAAGTGTGGTTCCAGTCCCAATCTATGCTTCCTAACTATCATGTTTTGCTGGCTTCAATGGTTTAAGCACTCGGGTGGATATAACCAATGCCGGTTTGACCAGAACGAGTAAGCACTTCAAACCCTCCAGCAGTAAAAGATTGATCTTCCTTGAAAATGGGTCGTTTAAGCTCTACATATGCGCAATAGTCTACTTCATATACTATGGCATTCTTTAAGAAAGCAGCAAGAGCCACTCCAACTCCTTCCCCTGCAAAGAGCACAAATAATTTACAATTCCAATTGGAACTCTTCCCAAAAAAAAAAGGAAGCTTATCTAGATGACTGATTTGCAAGTTCCAACTCCCCCCCCCCCCCCCAAAAAACAGTTACGATCTATCCCTAGTTAACTTGGTCAGTAATCAGTTTACCTCCCAGCAGCAGAAGTGTATTTAGGCCCCTATGTTATATATATATATATATATTTTGTCAAAAGGCCCCTATGTTATATTTAAACACCCTCTGGTATTCGGCTCTAACAGATATAATCGTGTGCATGACAAAGTGAAGAACAGTTAGATTGTCAAAAGGATATTCACTTATACATTGAATAGTGTCAGTCTTCTGAAGCCATGTAGGTGATATTTGGAAACACAGTATGAGCATAGTCCTAGTTTTAGTCTCACAACATTATAAATTGTTTGCAATAGACTTCTAACGCTCAAACTATTAATTTCTATTTAAGAATCACAAGAGTAATTTCCTCAAAACCTCGGTGTAATTAAATAATAACATAGATTAGAAGAGGGTTCAATGGCACACAAATTTAAAGCATAAGTGGCAAACCAATTTAGTGCCAAATTAAATGGGAGAGCAAACTATAATCCACCCTTTTTGTTTTATTAAAATCTTCATTCCCATTGTAAACTCTGTCATGCAAGGGGAAAGGTAAGAAGAAATTTGTTCATCATCAAAAGGTGCCTTTGCCATAAGTTGAACATAAAAGAAATTAGAACCTTACCATGTGTGACAAGCAGCAAGTTCTCGGTATGATAATTATCTGCAAGGTCCTTAATCACTTGCTCATATCTAGCTCTTGCACCCAAAACTGGCCCTTCCCATTTGCGCAACTGGTGCTTATCAGGCAAAAATTCCATCAGTCACAATTAAAATCTGTAATTGCATAAACAAGTAGCAGCCAAAAAATTGAGTTGAAAAATATCTAGTCCTCAAGCCGTACCTCTTTATACATCTTTTTTGCATTCTTATCCACTGTTCCAGCTGGGAGAATTGCTTCACGCTCTGCGATATCAAAACCCCAATTACCATCCTTAGGAGCCAGTGCAGGACTGATAGCTTCTCTGCTTATCATCTCACATAATCCAAGTTCAACAGCGACCCAAAGTTGGTTAAGACCAATAAGAGAGATAACTTTAGCACCTTATTGTTACCAGAAATTATTACTCGCATCATAAGTATATAAAATAAACACACTCTCAATTCTAAATATTAATCAAACCCATGTTCTATGACGTATCCAAGCACATTTAACCAAGAAGCCAAGTCTGAAATGTTACCTGACTATGTACAAGTATTTCGCGCGCGCGCGCACATATAAATTATAGTAATTTATTAGAATGCAACAACCAATCAGAGGTAAATCTGTGCGTGAGCACTATTCTAATCAGCATCTGGATTTTCTTCATCTAAGTAATCATCTAGCAGTGACTGCAAGAACCATGCTGGAAAACCTGTGGCCAGGAAGTTCAGGGCATTATGGTGAACTGAAATTTACACTCGTGTTGTAGGTAGAAGAAACAGAAATCTCTGTAGTGCCATAGATGGCACTAGGGTCACTTCATCATAAATTCATCACTCAGTGAACATTCTCTTTAAAGAGCATCGTTTATGAAGAAAAAGTGAGCTAGAAGTCAAGGATGTCATCCTTGCTTAATCCACAACGTGGAGGAAAAAGGCTAAAGGTTCATTGAACCTCTTTTCCGAACTAGTAAATATATAATTGCAATGCCATTTTCAGATTAAAAACTCATAAATCAGAATATAGCATAGCTTAAGTCCCAACAGATAATTTGTAAATTACTTTTAACACATGCGAGACCAAAGGAAAACTGTCAACAACAAAGGACTAAGAACTACCATGATAATACCCGTAAGCCAACAAACCCGCAGTACATCTACTGTAGTTTAAGTTCATTATATTTTAGACGTGTTTGCTCTCAAATTTCAGAAAACTAAGACTAATTCTGAAACTTCTTTTGTTAAGTAAATTCGGCTTATCTTATAACCCTAGAGTTAGATTTTAAGCATAGTAAAATCCTCAGAACTCTGTTCTAGCAAAAGCCATTACCTTTTTGTTACTGCTGCTTCTGGAAACATGGTCAGAAATGCTTCTAGTTGTAAATCCTATTTCAATATGCAGAGAGAAGATTCCTTAACAAAATTACAACAAAAGGACCATTGGAGATATCTGTTTATTGCAACATCTAATGGCAATGGAAACGTGTTATTTTTTTGCAGCACTTTTTAAGGTTAGCAAAGAAGTATTAACACTGACATAGGTCATTGAACAGAATATAAACAACACTACGTAACAAGACATCAAGCACGTATTTAGCTTTTCTTTATTTAATGAGTCAATTAACTTTAAGGAAGATTTCACCTAGCTAGCCAATAGTTAAAAAGATCTATTCTAATATGAACGCATATTAAATGCCATTCCTGAAACTTTAAGGTTATGTTTCGTGTCTTCGAAAGAATTTTAAGGGAATGGAATGAAAAGGAATATAAAAAAATAGGGTCCGGTTTGCATGAAAAAGGGAGGTGAACATTTATTTTAACGATGTTTGGTATAATAAAAACGGAAGAGGATTGGAAATAAACAAATGGAAAAAGACAGAAATGTTTTTCAATTGGGACCCATAGAAGAATGACAGAATCAACGGTGGAAATGTACATAGCAATAGGGTTCAAAGCCGTGAATATTTAGAACAGTGTTTGATCTGCCAAAAGTGACAAGCCTTTTTGTTTTGTGATTAGACCATCCGATGAATAAAACCCACCTGAGACTGCGAAACCAGCTGAAAATGTCATTGTGGCTATGAGTATGGCCACAAGTGTGTTGGTTGCTTCCTTCCTTCACATTCCATTCTTTATTGGTGGATGTTATGCTTTGTTTGGCTAGCATATTTGCCTTTAGGGGCACGCCAGCATTATCTAAAGTTATGTCTGCTAGAGCTAGTACTACCTCTATCGGTTCTTAATATAAAAGTTAGTTGATAGTTAAATTTAATCCTAAATATAAAACTTTAATCCACTTTGTCTCCTAACTTTTTTCAAAATATTCCAATTGACTGTAAGAAATTCCCACCAAGGATAATTACAATCATCCAATGCACATGATTGATTAGGATAGTTTAGGGATAACAACACACATTTATGACAAGTAACCAGTTTAACTAATTTTCTTAATATTCTAATATAAAAGCTAGATAAATAATTTGGAGAATTTATAAAAATTAATTAAATTAGTTATTTATCACAAATGTGCGTTGATCTCTTTAAGCTATCCTGTTTAATCCTGTGTATTGGGACCACCTTTTGGTGCTAATCCCCTACAAAGACAAAGAAACTTTTGAATCAAAACTTTTTAGAAAATTGACGAGAAGAAGACATAGATGCTTATAAATCATACCTCTTGTCATGTCATTGCAATTCTACGTTGCATCCGAACAACATCTCAAGCTGTTAAATCTTGGTTATTGACTAGGTTGACATTGATCATTTTGTTTTGTGATAGAAGGAGTAGAGTCCAAAGACACAATTCTCCTGAAGCCAAATGTAAGGAAGTATCTCCATTTAAATTTACATCTCTATCATTTACAGTATCATGATGAATCTTGGGGTGCTTCAACCGATATTTTATCACATCAATTCATCCCTTCATTGCTGCAATGTGAAGACTGTTCAGACCTTTATTATTCGACCAACGTCCAGCATTAGGCCGCTCTATTTCAAGCAAGTTTTTGACCACTTTAACACTTCCCTTTTTGCAACCGGGATGAATTGGAAGATTGCCATCTGAGTTTTGTTGAAAAGAAATCATGGCAGAAGTTTCTAACATTATACAAACTCCTTCCATGTAACTGAAGTATGTTGCATAATGAAGAGGAGTATTATTGTTCTTCTCATCTCTTTGATACAATAACTCTTCCTTTGTATCAACGATCATCTTCAATAGGTCTTCACACCAAAAAAAAAAAGGAAAGGAAAAAACAAACATATATTAGGCAAAAAGTAAAACAAATACAAAATTAATTACCACCTCAATCTTTAGTATAACACTCAGTTGGCTAATTTAAAAAAATTCAGAATGCTAAAAAATTACTTAATTATATTATACATTACATGTCCACTTTAAAATACTTATATATATATATATATATATATCCTTAGATTATATATCAATTTATAAGTTGGGCAAATTAGTTTAGAGAACAACGATGAATATAATACTCTTCTGGTCCTTAATGTAGGATCAAATTGATGAGTTGATGTTGATTTCATATGTAAGACCTATTTCACATATTTATCAATTTTATCCAAATTAATCCTATTGATATTCCCCTAACGATAATTAAGTAGGAGAGAGAGGAGTGAATTAAGGAAAGATGCTTTAGATGTTTTAAAAAAAATATCACATTAACTAATTTAACTAACATCCTTAATCTACTCAAATTAGTTAATTAGGTCTTATATAAAGGATTCGAGGAGTACTTTAAACCAATTTATTAAGTTTCATAATCTCCTCAAATTAGTCAACTAGTTCTTATATTAAGGAGAGAATATAATATTTCAGGAGTACGCTTACTTTTATTTCATTATGACATTGCAGCATAAAGTGGGGAGCCGCCACCTGAAACAGCCTTCCCTGAGGGGATTGGAATTTGACTCAAGAGAAGATGAACAACATTCTTAGCGCTTGTTAGGACTGCTAAATACATTGGCGATTTACAACCATAATAATAGTTCCAAGTCCAATAAGAGGCCAGACCACTTTGCTTATGTTCAGCTAAAAAGGAATGAACCACAGAATAATCCTTTCTCAAAACAGCTCCGTGCAAAGCTGTACTCCCATAATTGCTGCATCACATTAATTATAAGCTCCACTTTGTCCATAGGTTCAGCCTCCTCTTCAGATGTCTTGAAATGCCTATCCAAGTCCAGAATTTTCCTAACCGCGACAAGATTCTTAGCTCTTGCAGCAACATGAAGCGGAGAATCACCATTGATATTTGTCTGTTACAAAAGCTTAGGATAGTGAAAAGCAATAGGCCATACAACTTGTTCACTCCCATGTTGGGCTGCACCGTGAAGCAACGAATCACCTGTGGGAGTGACAAGATTGAAAATGGCGGCCAAGTCAACCTTAATTTTTGTACATACTTGTTCTAGTACGTAAACAAATCTATCTGCATCTGCATTTTCATCAGAAGCCACCTCGTACAACTCATTACATAATGTGCACCATGTTGTCACAAAATGGCATATCATCTGCCAGTTCACGCATCTTTTCGTTGCCACGAAATCGTGCATCATCAACTGATGAGCTGGACTTCATTTTCATATGCTTTTGGAACTCCTTTTCCATCCCCTCACTTGTCATATGTTCATCTAGCTCCTCCAAAATACGTGTAGACTTTTTCTTGGGCTTCATCTCGTCATCATGAAAAATTAATATATCAGTGCAACCCAAATCAGCCATTAATGCAACTAGCTAGCAGCGTCAATTATCAAATGCAATTCAGAACGATAACTCGTCATTGATTTTCTTGTTCAACTTAGTTTCAGCATTAGGTAAACCTTTATGCTATATATGCATTAAACAGTTCTAGTCAGTGTTAACTATCTAGATAAGACAAATGATGGTTTGTTAGATGGTAAGCTTAGAGATTAGAATATTGTGTGGTCAATATGAATTTATTTAGTTATCTTATGAATTCACGTTTTGAAGACAATATTCTGTCATTTGCACTAAGAAAATGATTTTTTGACCCGTTCATGTCCTTGAATTGTTTATCAATGAACCGAATATTCAATATTATTGTTTTTTTACTGAAGATCTACAAATGAAAGCATTCAATTAACAGCAAAAATAAAGAAAGATATTTCTTTGTGTGTTGCAGTTTGTGTGCATCATTCTCGCTATATATTTATCTGCATTGATCAGCTTTTTTATTTAGGCATTTAGTCATCGTTACAATTCCTATTTCCCCTTCTATTCACACTTGTTTTTACGAATAGACAGTAATAAAAATACCCTTTTCGACTTCTTTTTTTCATGTTCGTTCTTTG